AAAATTATTAAAATATTATTAATGAATAAATATAAAAAATAATTTTATTGAAAATATTTTAATAATTTTAACATTCAAACGGTAAAAAAAACAACTATACATATTGAAAAACATTTTTTTATTAATGTTAAAAATCACGAATCAAAAAGTAGTATCATTAAAGTTGAAGAGAGAGAACTAATTTTCTAGCAAAATTCCCAATACAACAATATGATCAATTATTTTTTCAATTATCTGATTACAATTGGTATATTTTTTTTAAATTATAATGAACAGGAAATAATTGGCTATGATAGGAGTTTTTGGGGTGTAAGAATTTTTTTTTTTTTTGGTTCTCTTTTAGGTGTGATAATGGGTTCTAAGTATTATAACTAGGTACTAGATACGCGCTACTTTTTATATTGTAGATAACTAGCAGAGAAAACTCTAGATTAACTCCCCTTGGATTGGGGTTTAGGGTGATTAGAGTGTTATTTTATTGGAAAATTTTTTATTGAAAGCACAGTTAAAACAGTATTATATGAAAGTTAAAGTTTAAAAGTATTGTATATAATATTGTTAAATTTTGTAATAAAATTTTATTAAAATTTTGTTGAATTATTAATTTTATTTTATTTAGTAAAAAATTGATGTAAAAAAATTATTAAGTAAATCTAATATAAAGATAATTAGAGAAAAACTTTTTTCTTATAAAATGAGTGAAAAAAAATTTACAAATTAAAAATTGTATGAAAAAAATAATAATTAAAAATATCATTTTTATTCATAATTTATTGTAATATTAATAACCCTTATAAAAAAATTAAATAACTTTAAGTGAAAAGTTTCTCCAATAAAACACTTTTTTTTTTTTTTTACAATCAAAATTATATTAATAATATTAATATTTGTTTAAGGGATGAGGGAAATATTGAGTCTAGGACTCGACCTGATAATCCAAACGCTTATACCTGCTTCTCATTGAATGAGGAGCGTGGCCGCCACTGCAGCCACACGGTGAAAGGCAATAAAACACCCCTTAATAAATCCACCTTTTGGGGATAGACTTCACATTTAATTCTGATCGTCTCGGTGTCTCTAACCCCATTCATGATGAAACCCATAGTTGCTGCCATGTGTTCGGTTCCATGGAAAATGACAGCAACGAAAGGACAAGAAAATTAAATTTTCTATCAATTGGTTTCTTGCAAGCCAAGTGCACATCACCAGTGCACACAATAACAGCCCATAAGCTGCCGAAGAAAAGCAAACACTTTGTTGCCAATGAACCCAGCTGGATTTTCCATTAGTCTACAAGGAAAATGAAAACAAACACCCAATTTTCTAATTGAGAAGTGTGTTTTTATACAAACCAGTAACAGGTTCATTTAACATATACGTTTAGTATTCTCACCAGAGGGTGTGTAATTTTGAACCAAAGATTTTCAATTTGTTTATATAAAAAAAGGCATAAAAGAGGAAAACACTAGGGGCATAATGTTTTAAGTATAATGTAGTGTATGTACAGTCAATAATAAAAAAAAAAGTACATATGTACAATATAATGTGGTACTGTACTTATGTGACATTAATTTATGATTCATGATATTTAATGATTACAGCAAATAAATAAAAACAAATTAGATTGCATTCAAGTTAATATCTACAATAAAGTTTTGTAAATACAAACGTATATAAATTATGCCATAAACATAGAAAAAAAAAAAAGGATTGGTTTACTTATAGTTTCTTTTCTGATATAAAGAAAATTACTTGGTATTCAAGAAACATTAAATTATCTAGGTTTGTTACGAAGAAAATCCACAATCTTTACTTTCATATAATAATTAAAAATAAAATAATTATAATATTTCATGATATTATTAATTTATAATTTTAATGTATTATTATAATATTAATTTTTTAAAATTTATTTATAATATTATATGTATTTATTGATTTAATAATATATTAAAAGTATAAATTTATGTTTTTAATGTGAAATTATAACATTATAAGAGAATGATCATTTGACATCTCTCATGATAAATAAAGAAATAGAAGAAATCAAAGCAAAATACAGGGCATGAACAGCAAGACAGTTGTCTTGTTTCCTAATCATCTCTTTCTTTTTCCCTTCATTTTTTTTTTTAAACGGAAACTAATCAGTCATTATCATTCCAAGGACATTCCTGCAAGCAACCGGCACTCTTTTCTTCTTTTCCCTTCTTTTATTTTTTCCTTTTCACTTTTCTCCTGATGATAATGAAAGTATGAGGGCAGTTAAAGAATCCCTCCTGTAAAAACTAAAATCAGAAACAAATCTCAGATTTCTTCTTCTTCATCGTTTTTTTCTTTTGAATATGAGAATTTAAGGAGGTTAGGCACCTAAAAACAAACAAAATGGCTAGTATAGCCGGTGTGGTTATGGCCATCCATTTTAAGGTCATATAATTTTATTTAATTTAAATATTTAAAATTATTAATAATTAATAAAATAATTAATATTTATTATTTAATTAATTAAAATTAATTTATAAATTAATAATTTTAGGCATCATAATTAATTATTTTAAAAAACTATGCATAGTTACCATCAATAAAATTAAATAATTTTTTTAGTGGTTTTAATAAAATGATAGGTGGGCATAACTAAGCATGTGTTTTTTATTTTTTTCTATGAATGCATTTGAGTATTTATTGCACAAAACAGTTCGAAGTGCACTAAAGTAAACTTTAAATAAGAGTAAGCTTATGATATTAGGGGTCATTTTCTTATCTAAAAGTCTATTGATTATAGTTTAATATAGTTTAAACTATAAAAAAAAAATAATAAAACTTTTGATTGACTTGGTCATGTGATGTAATATGTCACAAGCCAACTAACATATCTAGAACTAATATCTCTATAGATAATTTTAGGGGTATCTCTCCTGTTAATTTAGTGCATTTTAGAATTTTGAACATGACTCACGTGACAATATTTCATTATCCATAAATTTAACCCTAGAGCTAAATATTTTTACTTAAATAATTAGCAATTCATAAATCATAAGGATTAGATCCACAAATAGGTAAGTATTGTCTTGTAAGCAAGGTTTAGAATTCAAATCTTAAAATTAGTACTTAAAAAATTAATTTTCTTAAATATACGAAATCAATATAAGAGATGTATTCTTAAAATTATAGGTGTATTCTTAAGATTGTCCAAGAAAGAATTAATATTAAAATATACAAAAATTAGTCCATAGACAATCTCACCGTAAATACCAAAAAAAAAATCACAAATCTTCCCCTAATTGCTCTGAGGAAAACGAAAGAGAGGGAAAGGGAGACAACATCCTTTTATTTCTCTCCTTTCCTCCTGGCCTCCCCTCATGTAATTATATTTAAATTATAAAGAAAATTAAAGGGAAGCTCCTCCACCTCTCCCCCCTCTGTTTCCATTTTCATTATCTCAATAAGAAATTCTTTTCCTCCTCTCCTCTCCAACCAAATAAATTTCTAATATCTAATGAATTGAGTTTAGAAATGGGTTAGGTAAATCCTCCATATGAAAGTGTAAATGATAAGAGGCCGACAACAGGAATCCCTCTGCTGGGACTGGTAGTTAAATTTTATCCAAAGTGCTTGTTATTCTAGTAATTTAGGGTTTAATTTATTGGAAAGAAAAGTAGGAACCCATTAAAGAAATCAAAAAACATCAACCAAATAAATAAATAAATAAATCAAAAGAAATATCTCAGAATCCTATCAACAATAAGGCATTCTTCCTTAGGTTGGACCCACAGGACCACCCTCCATTTGTCACCTCTGGCATGGATAAGCAACCAAATTCCATCTGAGTCGGTATTTTCTATCATGCTGATTGATAGGTTCAAAATCTTCAATCCAAGCCTCCAGGCCCCCAACGTGCAAGATGACACCATTTATGGTGGCCGTTGCCCTCCAAGCAATTGAAATTCCACACATAATTCCATGAAATAGCCTACCTTTATTGAAACCCAATAAGTCAAACCCCCTCCCTCCCTTCACGATCCTTGTATCAATACCTAATTTTTTTTTTTTTTATATAGATATCTGGTTTTCATTTTTTCACAGGAAAAATGAGTCAGGAAATGGATTTTGATGATGAGTGGGAACTCCTTCCTGTTAATGGGTTCCTTGATCTTGATCATCTCCATGAAGATGGGGAGAGAAGGATTTTTGTGGGGAAGAGGAGTTCTGATCCAAGAAGTGTGTTCAACATGAATTACTTCGATATCAAGTCCCCAAAATCATCTGGGAACTCCAAGGTTTTGCCTAACCAGCTTGTGCCTGTTCCGTTTCAATTGGAACCAAGAATTTACAAGGTGACAGATGATGATGATATTGATGAGTTTGTGAAAGGAATCACCAAGTTGCCAATTGATGTTACCCTGGTGCCACCGCCGGTAATTCCCAAGAAGATCAAGGATCCTTCTGATGTTTTTGAATCCATTGAGGCTGATCAAGATGCAGTCTCACAAGTTTTCTTCAAGAAAACTAACAACAATGAATTTGTCGAAATGAAAATGGACTCACCCAAGTCCGGTTCAAGGGGTGTTTTGCCCCAGATTGATGCAGGTGCCTTTACTTTTGAGGAGAAAAGTGATGAGCCTCTGGAGAACAACAATTCTCCCAGAAACAGGAGTGAAAGGAAAGAGAAGGTGATCTGGGATGATAATTCTGGGGGCATGAATCTCTGGAAATTGAGCCTCTCTGGGATTGGAGCCATCTGCTCATTTGGTATTGCTGCTGCTACAATTTGCATCTTCATATTTGGGAGCCAACAGAGGAACAAACATCACCAGAACCAGAAGCTGAGTTTCCAGATTTACACTGATGACAAGGTATGAGAATTCAAAAATTTCCAGACACCAGTTTTTCCATTTTTAATGTGCATAATCTTGATGTTGATCTGCATCAATTCCTTTCAAGGAAACTGGATCCTTGAATCTTTGATCATACCAGTAGAAGAGAAAATAGTAAAAATGGGAAGAGAGTTTTAATTACTTTTCTGTACTGGGAATCTTTGTGAAATTTTATTCTTAATTGATGTGATGAAGATATTTTTGAAATTGGACAATGTTGATGTGAACACAAGAAATACTATTTCTGTCCCCAGTATTCTCATCTTCAAATTAAAACAGAATAGAAAACGTTATACATTTTATTGCAAATTTGAGAACAGAATATGTTACAATAGAAAGAATAATTGAGACAGAAAACTTTTGCCCCAATCTGATGGGATTGCCATAGCTCGAGTAACTTCAAACTGTTGATTATGTCTTGACAACTTTATGTATGACCCAATATGTAATCCAGTCAGAATCTATCTTCACAAGATTTTTCAGGAGATCTGCAGTTGAGGCAGAGAGATTCGGCCAGAATTTTGATCCTATTTCACTAATTAATTTAGTTTCATCTGCAGCTAAAGTTAGGATCTTAAGATTCTTCACTGTTTCTATTACAAAATTAGGTGCATTAGGAGACTCTGCTAAAGCTGGGGTGGGGTGAGTGATTATGCTAATTAAAGTCCTCTAGTTTTTGCTATAAATTAGTGGATTTCATCTCTACTTGTATGGCCAAAGAGCTGAGTCTTGTAGATTTCATGTCTTCTTTTCTATTATTCTGTTTATTTCAACACAAATGACCATGGTTGCAGAGGATTAAGCAAATGGTTCATCATGCAACCAAACTGAATGAAGCAATTTCTGCAGTTGGAGGCGTTCCAATTACCAGAGCTCACATAACATTTGGGGGCTACCATGATGGTCCTTAGATCGATGTCTTCTATGGGAAAAGCAGTACTGTTGATTTAGGGTGACCAATCCCTGGTCTTTTGGATTTTCAATGCAGGTTATTAGTGATTAATGTAGGGTCCATATTTTTGTACATGATAAGAAAAAAGGTCTATGGGATGATTTTATGTGCATGTATAGATTCTGAATCCTGTTTTATACTCTCAATTCTATATTGTTGTTATGGATAAGATGCTGCCATCAATATATCTTTCCTTTTATAACGTTGAAAGCCGTATTATCTATGTGACTTGTCTACTTATTTTCAAGTATTTTTTCTATAATTTTTAATTTTGTAGTTCAAATTGTAAAATGAGCAGGAACCCTGCACTAAAAAATCCCACATCTTTTTTATTTTAATTATTAGTGTAGTTTTGGATTACACAACAATTTTTGTTTTCCTTTTAGAAACAAGAGATTGCATGACTCAAACTAAAGAAGGAATTTATTTCAAAATATTTAACAATAGTAGGTTGTAAGCTTTGTATGTTCTTTTTTCAATGTGTGTATGGTAGGTTTAGAGCTAACAAATGTATTCTCAAAATCATGGTAATTGAACCTGTCAAATATATAACCCAATTCTTTCCTTAGATCCCTTACCCCCTACATAATTAATTAACTCTATCTGTAGTCCTCAGGGAAACAAATTCGTATTTAATAAGTAATTTAGGTAGTTTAATAATCTATTTGGGCCAAAAAGTGGGGTTTACTTGGATTGGATCCTTCCACTTACATACCAAATAAGGGGATGACATATTTTTAAAAGGAAAATAATTGAAAAATAATTTTATTATTATTTTTTATATAATTTTATATATTATTTAATTATTT